GAGGCAGTTAATTGCATGGGAGGAGATTGCCAGTCGTTCTCCCTCAGAGCAGCTGGTGGATTTGAACCACGGGACTTCAGGATTGCAGCTCAGCTTCTTGCCACTAGGCCACTAGTGCTCCCAAATGTGAAGTATAAAAATCAAAAGTGTGCAATCTACTTCTATGTCTGAAAAACAAGATAGATAAGTAGATACATAGATAGAGGCAGTTCCTAGATTATATATGAGTTTCATTCCTAAACCTGACCTTATGTTGAATTTGTACATAAATTGAAACACTTAGTTCATATCTAATGTGAGGGAGTCCAGTATTTGTTATACTATATGGTAAGACCCTTAACCAGGTGGATGGATAAAATGACTGCAGAAGTGGGCGCGAGTGTGTCATAGATTGTGAAACTGGGCCAGGATAAGGCAGGGTTCAGAGTTTAGATCTGATGTTCATAGGGTCACTCTGAGTTGTACTTGACTCAATGGCACCTAACAAGAACATAACAGTATACCTTTCAGTGCATAAAATGTTAAAGAAACACAGGCACACTAAAACATCTTTAACATAATACTAAAATAATAATGTTGTGATAGTGTCACAAAGTACTTCACATTTTTCGTACAATCATCTTTACAGGATAAGGATTGAAGAGAGGATGTTGACTGTCTCTGTGCGTATGTGTGTATATGTAGTTGTTGCTATTGAGGCAATTCCAATTCATGACAATTTCACATGTACAGAGCAGAACTACTCTGTAAAGTTTTTTAAGATAGTGACCTTTCAGAGGTAAGTGCCTGGCCTGTCATTCAGAGAACCTGTGGGTAGATTTGTATTGCCAACCTTTCACTTAACTGTTTTCATCACCCTGACAGCAATGTGTGCATTCACATGTACCCATGTGTATATAGTATTATGATATGTAATACATAGTAGATGTGTTCTAGAAAAGTTTCCTGGAGGATGCAGGGTACAGATTATAGATACTAGAGAAGGGCCCAGAAATCTAGGCTGGAGTGGAAATCCAGTTTTTATTAATTTGTATTATACAAGCTAGTTTGGTTTTGGGGTGTTTTTTTTTTAATATTATATAACCAACCAGATGCATAAGGCCAGCAGAGTCTCTGGTACAGGCCTTACAGTGCCTTTGCACTGCCTTTAGTTATGAAGTCTGCAGTCTATATATAGGAATCACTTTCAACCGATGCCTTGTTTTAAGCCCAAATTTTGCTTTCAATAAAAAGCCCCAAAACAAAAAACAAATTCAGAGAAGTTTAAAAGATAAAGGCAAAGATAAAAATAAATTTAAGATTCTAAGTTCTGGTAAAGACCCACTTTCCCTACAAAGTTCTTTGGATTCCCTGCCCAGCGAGGAGTCATCTCTTCTTGCTGATTTGGAAGTTGACCATGCTTGATCTGCCCCCTCCTATGAGTCTTAAAGTACACACAGAGTGTTGTTCTGAGAGCAGGATTCTGCATTATAAATGTGCTCCCTTCTCCCAGGTACCTGCTGGAACAGGACTTCCCAGGCATGAGAATCGGCCCTGAGCCGACCACTGACTCCTTCATCGCGGTGATGCAGGGAGAGGTGGAGGGAATCATCCCCGGGAATGCACTGGTGGTCGATCCTAAAAAGCCTTTCCGGAAACTCAATGCCTTTGGCAATGCCTTCCTGAACAGGTGAGTGTCTCTGCCCTTTCTTTTAGTGACTTGAAATCAATAACTCCCGAGGGCCTCAGTGGGGAGGGGATTGTGGGTTTAAAGCATGGGTGGAATATGCTCTCCCAGGACTGACACAGAAGAACCATGCTGAGACATCTTGGAAAATGGGCCTGGTAGGTAGGGAGATGCTTAAGGATGTGCTTGGCTTATTCCAGAAACATAAGTTATTCTGTGAACTCATCTAAGATTCAGTGATAGTGTTAAGGTGCATTGAGAAAGGTGGTTCTGGACTCCAGCATGGTCTCTGATAACTAGAGCTGAGCAAAGACCAGAGTGGAGGAGATGGCATGGCCCCAAGAGGCTGAAATGCAGAGATGGGTGGAGGAGGGAAGTATATGATGGAGAAGAATGAGTCAGCAGGGGGGAACAGAGGCAGGAGCCTCTGAGGGAAGGTATGAGAGCCAAGGGAGATGAATTTTATGTTGGACACCTTGAGTTTACAGTGACTGATTCAGCTGAGGAGCATTATACTAGCTAAAGGCAGGAAGGAGAAAATCCTGAAGTAAAAAAGAGGTAATTGGGATCATTAGAAGAGAGAGTACAGGTTCAGCAGTTCACCCCATTTCAGAATAATAGTGTAATCCTGATAATAATATTATATTGTACTCTATGTAATAGTACACTGACAATTATCGTAACAGAGTTTCTATAATAGCCATTATATGCTGGACAAATTACTGAGAATTCACAGCCCTTATGTCATTAATCAAATGCAGCAAGTCTTGCTAACCCCATCTTTAAACATAATGAAATAAGGAGGGGTGTGTGGTGATAGGGAGTTAGTGGTTTGCTCTGACTAAAGATACTTAATGACTTTGAATCTTAGTATCTTCATCTAGAAAACGATAAAATGCAAATTGAACATTTTCTGTGCCCCGATTTCTTCCTGCAAATGTGTAAAGCTAATCTGAGAGAGAGAAAGAATTGGTGGCTGCCTGTAATTGTTTACAGTGGTTACATTCAGGAACTGTTGTAAAACGGGACTGACACCGGGGTTGAGGGGAGACTGAGAAAGATGGGATGAATTATGTATACTGCATTGAAACAGATGAGGGAGAGAACTGTTTAAATGGAACATATGACTGGGTATTATTGTCATGACAGGAGTCCAGAATGAAGGCT